AACAAGGGCCTAAGACGACTGAAAAGCAGAGTTTCCTTCTTTCGTTCTGCCGGGTAAAATCAATTACTTTAGGCGACGTTTGTAGACTAACCTACACGTACCAACGTCCGCATGTCGCGACGCTCAAGTATTACTATTCAGTGTCTGTCTCTTATACACATCTAGATGTGTATAAGAGACAGCACCCATAGGGTGTCTATAAAACAAAGACCCTTGATAATTTCACAAACAAGTTCAAATTACCTCGTAATTATGATTTTGTGACAGCCTGGTGTAGTATCATTAAAAAAAAGAGAAAAAAATGTGGGTCTTTATTTTTCATGTCTTCAGTCTTCGTTTTGTAGACATCCATATAGAGTGTCTATAAAACGAAAACCCTTCAGTATTTCTTGAAAATCCTCATTTTATTCCGATGGAAATAATGGAATAGGTACTTGGCAACTGTTTTATGACTTTGAAATACTACCACCACTGATACTACCTTTGCTAGTACCAGCAACCTGGGTTAGCTTGGGCTAGTCTTGAAATCTTCACGTCAGCGATTTTTTCGTCGGCGTTGGGTGACTGGACGCCGCCATTTACTTTGGCATTTTCGAATGCCGGTGTTAATTTTGAGGGCTGCTGCACCCCTTCTCCACTTCAAAAATGTCTGATGTAAATGAGATACACAGGCTGCGGGAAGACGTACCTATTAATGTTTAGTCAATCATATGCGAAAATTATGGAACATGTTAAATGTTGATCGATCGGTTGATTGATGGGTTGATTGTATCAATAGTTGTAAATGTGTCAATAGTGTATAATAAATCAATAACACTTTCGTGGTATGACAACGGTAATATGATCATACTATTAGTATTCCCGTTTAGTTCTAATCCAATACGAAAAATATTACTAGTTTGATGTCGTATTATCATGACCTCAAACCAGTGATATTTTTCGTATTGCATGAACAAGCAGGGAATAACAAATTTATCATTCAGTAGACATGAATATCATCAATGCTGTATCTATTTATTTCCAAAATTAATAAAGAGACAAATGTAGATTAAATAAATATTTCATTATTTTATATGCCGAGGTCTTTGCTGAGCCGGCTGTAATGTCAGAACGAGCAGTAGGCCTACTATATAATACAGTGCGTATACTACCATGTTCCATATCACATACTCATTTTCGTATAATACTCGGTTGTTACTTGAAGTTGAAGTAACTTAATTCCAACTGAGTAATACAAAAACATATAAATAGTTATGAACCAATGAGGAAATAGTATTCATGTCTACTAAATGAGAAAAAAAATTAAACAACATTTGCATATTGTCGCTGTTCTGTCACAACCTTGTATATCTATCAATAGGTACTTTTATGATCTTTTTTTCTTTTTTGTGTGTTTTAATTTTTAGTCTTTGTGTCTGTTAAAAGGGACCGTGAAGACAAGCCCAGGCTTCTAAACTGGTCCCTCGCCATAGTATTGTATGTTTCTTTTTTCAGTTGCTCATGGTGAAATAAATGTCACATTGATTGATTGATTGATATCTCCTTAATCCAAAAAGAAACAGTTTCTTTCAAGACTTTTGTCTATGTTTCCATATCTAAAACATTATTAAAAGTGAGGTTCTAAGCAGTAGAGTAACTAGATTTTTCTCAGGGGGAGGGGGAAAAAGTGGAAAGCACAAATTTTAACCCTAAAAAATGTGGGGTGCTAGTTTTATGCCAATTTCGTCTGAATTAATCAAAAACCCTGTCAAGACTCCCTAAAATGTGCAATTTTTAGTGAACTTAGGCACTTTCAGGGGTGAAAAGGGCATCTTCTTTCCCTTTCCCCTTTCTCAATTTTAACAGAGGTGGGGCATTTTCCCCCTGCTCCTGCTGGTTACCCCAGTGGTTCTAAGTTAATTAAACACATAATAGTCCCAACTCTAAGAGATCGAAAATTTAAGATAGATCCTTTACCATTTGTGGCAAAGACAAGCCAAACCAGTCACTCGTCGCAACTCCTGTTTCGTAGATAATTTCCAAAACTATAATATTTTGGGTTGCATTGCACATTTATAATACTGTAATAGTATAATATATCTTCTATTGTGAATTAACATGGCACATTTATAATACTGTAATATCAAGATGTGTATAAGAGACAGATATCATTCTATGAGCTATCTACAACAGTATTGTATATCATTCTAGGTGTTACCTCCAACAGTGTACACTCGTGTGACATGCTTTATCCCTGAGATCATCACGTTCATTCAGAGCATCGTGGACAAGGGCTATGCATACATTACATCAAGTGGTAAGCCATTCAAACAGTGCAGGGCTCAGGATGTTTCGTTTTCAAATACTTTCAATAAGATAATTGAGAAATAATTGGAGGTCTTCATTTTTCGGGTCTTTGGTCTTCGTTTTGTAGACACCCATAGGGTGTCTATAAAACAAAGACCCTTGATAATTTCACAAACAAGTTCAAATTACCTCGTAATTATGATTTTGTGACAGCCTGGTGTAGTATCATTAAAAAAAAGAGAAAAAAATGTGGGTCTTTATTTTTCATGTCTTCAGTCTTCGTTTTGTAGACATCCATATAGCTGTCTCTTATACACATCTGGTCATTTATATCCCCTGCACATTTTTGGCAGAAATGGCAGAGTTATAGTACTAAAGAGCTCTATAATGATGGCATCACAACAACATTTGTGGAATCACATCAATAGTTTTACATTATTTAAAGGTATTATGTAGCTTTCAATGTTCTTATGGTAGCGGGACGGAATTCCAAAAGGTGGCAGGACGGAATTAAACAATTATTTTGGTTTAAAATTGTTTAAAATATTCCAAAATTACTTTTTAAGCCAAAATCATAAATTACACTTTTAAAATCGTAATATTGTTAAGAATTATGGAAATGGAATCGATGCAAACTGAAAATATCAGCAAATATTAGGATTTCCGTCCCGCCACTTTTACTAAGTACTTTCTTAAGTTTGGTCACATGATACACAAAAAATTGGCATATTATCACAAAAACAATATCAGCTTTAAATGCCCAGATAATTATTCCTTTAAGTGACATTAAATAATTTCATAAACTTTTAAAAGTGAAAATTTGGTTTTAGGGTTGACAGGTTTTGGATTACACCCTGAAGTCATTAACGTTTTGGTTATGACATCTTACCCTAAACAGTGCGATGCATCTCCTACTGTATGCTTTAAATTAGGAATTTCATAATGCTTTTCACTATCTTATATCAAGGTAAAAAGACAATTTACGTGAACCGTTAGGGTGTACCCAGGATAATGGTCTTGGAGCCTATTTTCAAACAGGCATTATGCCACTGGTCAAGGCTCCATTGTGGAGTTCTGGGAAGTAGTAGAAGGTGCTCTTTGGACCCCTAACATATAGGCATATATGCTGAAAGTAATACGTCTGAATTGTTTCTAATATAATGTAAATTTTCTTTTCGAGTTCCAGTTCTCTGAACTAAGTACAGTATTTTAAATGTTGTATTAATCCATATTACATCCATATTACAGCTTGATGCGGTGTTTATAGATGAACCATCAAAGAAAGAAGCTTTGATTGCATTGCTTAAACAGTATGCTCGTGATAAGAAAGTTGATAATTTTGGTCGAGCATTAGCAGCCCTTCTAGATTCAAGTAATCAAAAACAAATCTTGGATGACGTCAGGTAATGTGTGTATTCTGTCCTTTTTTAGTGTCTTCTCATATTCTATACAGTAATTAACATGGCTATTTGTATTAGAGTAGTTTTGTATGACCGTGGAAAGCAAACATTATTCAGCATTGTAGACTTAAAATATGTCCATACATTGTATTGTACATGTTTCAATATCATATTTTTTCCTGTGTTGAAGACAAACCCTTTAACATATATATTTACTGTAGTAAAAATTATTGACATACTTAAGTCTGTTAAACTTTAAGGTGAAATTCTTAACGCTATAGCTGTGTTTAAGCTTGTTTTTTTAAGGTGAAAATCCTATGTTATAGCTGTGTTTTGTTTGCAAACCTTAACATTCAATTGAGTATTAGTAAAGTTTGTGTAAATTTATGTTGCATTAAAATGTTGGCCCTTTTAATTGACAGGGTATTCGTTCCACCATCTCAAAAGGACAGGTTTAGTCTGTACTTTAGTAAAGATTCTCAGTATGCTGGCAGAAGGTAAGGAATTCAAACGTCAATTATGTAGAATCAGAGTTTGCAAGTGGTAAAAATACTTGACAGATAGAGGATTTTGCAGAATAAAACATAATAATTTCCTTCATACTCAAATTGAAGTAGTTATAACTTATTGTTTTAATGATCTTTTTACATAGCAAAACCTCCAATACACTGATCTGCCCTCCCCACAGCTCCCCCCTGTTTTTTTATGTTACCGTACACAAAAATCTATTTGATAATTTTAAAGAATAAACAATTAATTCTATCAGTTTAAACAGTATACAAAATTGTCTTTATAATTTTTTTTTTTTTTATAGATTTTAAATCTGATATTATTTGGTAAATTTTGAATAATTTGGCACATAAGGTTCCAAACTCTAGCCTCAGCAATTTTGAAAGATTTTCATAAGTCTACAGTCTGTAGTACAAAGTAAAACATTTACAGTATCCACATCTATCAGTTGTCATTAACAAGTTATTGCATTTGCATGAGGATGTCATAGACTCAATGAGAAACTCACCATGCCAGACAAGATGCTCAATGAGAAACATTGGTAGAATACAGACTCAGTGAAAGCAGATTATACCTCAGAAATATTGTATTAACCTCATTGGAATTCAGTATTATTTAAAGTACTATAATCTTATGTTGTAGTGCTTAACGTTTTTTTCTGGTTTTAAAGCAGATCTGTTTCAATTGATCGAACGGGTGGATCATTTGGGTTCATGTTGGTTGGGTCAGGCCCAGTAATGATTGAATCTATTGACTCAGGTAAGCAAATGATTTGAAAATTATGTTGACTGTAGGGCAAAAAATTCCTTCCATACTTTTTTTTCTGAAATAGTAGCTTCCCTCTTGTGTAACTGACAATGTTATTGATGTTAAATACCAACATGGAAGTGAATGTACATTGTTCTTACAAGGATTTTGCTACAATTTCCTTGGCCACCCAGTCTTATGGCACCCGAGGCTTGTTGGCAACCAGACTTATGCCACCCTAGGCCTTTACCAACCAAGTTCAAGTTTGTTTAAAATCACATTTGCAGCTTCCAAATTGTTATGATTTCTAATAAAAACACCATATATATATTGTTTTAATTATATAGGACCTTTTATTAATCTTACTATGTTTTATTTCCTGTTTACTGTAGTTAAATAAGTCTTAGCATTAAGCTGGTTCAATGGCAGCACCGCCAATAAACTATCGCCTACATAATCATTTTGCCGACATCTTATCATGGTTTAATTGTAATTAATTCGCCCATTAACTTGTCACTGAACTTATATTTTGGGGTCCAATCAACTAATTGTATTGTTAACTTGATTCTAATTGGCTAATACCAGTGTTCTCCCGAAGCCGTTTTAGCCGTCAATTTTACCAGTAAAAGTAACTTACCAACCAGTTAATATTGTGTGTTGGTAGAATAAAAAAGCACTTATTAGGCGTAGGTAGCCTAGGCTGACCTTCTTTCAATAAACGAATATCATTCCAGTCCAGGCCTAGTCTTGGACTAGACTTTAATCTGCAAGTGTGGAAGGACTATTAAATAAGTCCTAACTAAAGAAAAAAATAAATTATCTTACCTTTTTGTCACATCGTAAGTGCTATATTATTATTATCATTATTATTGTTGTTATTGCTAATCTTCTTCTCCTCCCCCTCCCCCGCCATGTACACCGTCTCGGTATTTTTAATTTTAAGTTTGGTGCAGAATTTATTTATTAAAAAGTGACTTAAAACTACATGATGAAACTACCGATCACTAGACACAATTCTGGTATTTTTTAATAAATGTTATTACATGGTAAAAACTAACTCCCTTTGCATACCATCCTGGTATTTCATGTTTTGGGGCTGTAAATGTTAAACATTCTGTGTTGGAGTACCAATGTTTTCATTTATTTATTTGTTTGTAGTTTCAAGATAAAAAAGTAAAAACTAATGTGTATGGGTACTGTTGATTGTGTTTAGTAGCTGTTGGGTAAAATTTAGAAATTGATCAACTGGTTGGAGCAATTACTACAGTAATCTCTGTGCTGTTTTCCTGGATGATAGGCCTATGGTCATACTGAGTTCACCTTATATCTTTCTGTATAGGTACTATCAAAAGATCCCTGTTATATTGATTTTGATTACCATACCAGTATTAAACAATCACTATAGCATATGATAAATGATAGTATGCTTTGTAAAAGCAGCTCATGTAAACAAATGCCTCCTTAAACAAATTGGTGGCCTTTTATATTTACTTTTCTTTTAGACATCATTTTGTGTGTTGTTTATTCTTTTCTATTTTGATGGTTTTTTTTGTAACTGCACCACTTTAAAAGTTGTACACGTATATAGAAAATAGCTGCAGTATAAGACTAAACCTGGTATTTTTAAAACCAACTTTAGTTTTGTTGCAGTCACGTAGATGGCGCAGACTGCGCTCGGGTGCATCTATATTATTTCTCCAAAGATAGAAATTTTTCAGTGACTGTTCAAATTCTCCATCGTATTGTTAACAACTAATAGTTATTATTATAGAAAATTAATTAAGCGAATGATGGTCTATTATGATTTATGAGAAAATACGTTTTTGAACCACAGACAGCAGCTTAATATTCATCCGCGTTACCGGATTTCTAAAATTTCGTCTGCTATTAAAATTAGCCCATTTCATTGGTTTAGTTTGATAGTTGTTGCTTGCCAGCCATCTTCTGCTGAACTAAAACTAGGACTTGATTTAGTTGTAATTAAAATTGCGACTACGTTGTTTGTTAATACAAATTGAAGTTGTTTGAAGTTCTAGTTCGAAGTTCAACTAAATTTCGTTTTAAGAATACAGGCGTTAATAACTAGATAAATAATAAATAATTAATTCAAAAGTTTACTATTATTTAATATAAAAAAATAAATGCAAATAAACGATTGTAAGTAGAATTATTATTTTATTTTTTTAGACTGGCAGCTATTGTATTTTAAAGTGTCTTGACCATAGCATGTTATTTTATTATTATTATTGTTTGGTAACTGGCTGCCCTTGTGGTAAAGTGATGATATCCTGTGAATGATTTTAGAATCAGATCTATTGACAAGCTGTCATATATTGATTGTGTTTTAGTTTAGTGCAAACACAAAGAGTCAAGCTTGCATAGATCATGCAGTATTCTGGAAAACAAAAGAAACTTGCATACATAATATGCTTTATTCTGGAAAATGAAATTATTCTGTTGGACAATAGAAGTAAATAGTAATACCAAGGCATGAAGTTGATTGATGAAGTTAATATTCTAACAATATTTGTATTTAAATATTCTGTACCTGTTCCTTTAATTTTATGGTAATATTATAATAGGTTTTTAAAAAAGTATATATTTATGCATTTCTAGGTTTATTTATTTTTTTATAGATATAGAAATTATAATTTTATAGTTGAAAATATGTTGAAAATTTAGGTTTTTTGTTGTTGAAAGGCTGTTGATATTTTTCTGTCTAGTTAGTTAGTTAGTTTTTATTTGGAATCACTTTTATTACAGTGGCACACATTCAAAGTTATGGTGCATCCAAAAGACCAAAATCAACAGAAAATTGAAAAGAAGAAAACAACTTAACTACGAAAATCATTACGGAACTAAAGTTTCGGTAAATAAAGCCAAATGGCAATGTTTCATCAAACAATTTACAGTAGTATCACAAGGTGTTAATTCCCAGCTAATATAGTTTTATGTCCGTCTAATTCTAGGTGGGCCAGCTGATTGCGCTGGCCTTAGACCTGGGGACAAGATATTAAAGTTGAATGGCTTAGATGTAAGGAAGAAGACACATGAACACCTGATTCAGCTTCTAAAAGGAAGTGGAATGACACCAACACTCCTGATAGAGACAGGGAATCCAGCAAATCTCCCTCCTCCAGTACAGCCCCAGGAAGCTTGTGAGTTCTCATTTCACTTTTCCTGTGAATTACAGTTGTGAAAAAATATTATGTATCTATCATATAAAAATGTCAAAGGATTAATGTGATCTAGTTATTCATGTGTCTCTTAAGCCCCATTTACACTAGACACGATTACGACACGACAACGACATATCATCGCGTAGTTTGTATTCTTCAACACTGCGCGCATCTGTATCCTGTCGTCGTGTCGTAATCGTGTCTAGTGTAAACGGGGCTTTAGACGAGAATATTTTTATACCTTGTTTAGCGAACCCGATGCTAGTGGTGATTTCAAAGTATACATACAATTTTATTTTTGGCCAGTTAGCGCACCCTCCGCCATGAAAAAGGTGGAAATTTCAGAAACAAATTATAAAGTTTTTCTTTATTTTTATTACACCCACCGCGACATTGAAATCCCCAAAAATAAGATATGTATTTCTTCCTCCACAAATTTAAAGCATTTAACCATTCTATTTCTATACTGTTTACATTCACCAATACAATTTTATTTTTATTTTCTCCCCCCTTTGGATGTTTTTGGCAAAAATATTTGCTAAATAAGAAAACAAAATTTATTTTAAATTTTTCTTTCTACCCTCCTCTCACGGTCTTTAAAAATATAAGTTTGCGAAACAAGGTTTAAAAAAAGTCTCGCCTTAACTAGTGTCAGCACAAAACTGTTAATATTTGGTTATTTAAAAAAAAATGTTTTGCAGTATATGTATCATCCACAATGAGCATGATGAGTGGTATGTCAGTAACAAGCCAAGTATCATCAGCTACTGGTTGGCTTTCTGAGAGTATGCACAGTAAGGCCACAATTGAAGATATTGAGGAGCTGAGAGCTGGTGGAATATCTAGACCTGACTTCTTTACTTTGGGAAGAACATTCAAAGAGATGGTATGCTATTAAAATCCTGATAATTCACTTTTTGTATGTCAAATAATATCACTGATATCTTAGCCATCCAAATCCTGTTTCAAATATTTTATCCATAGTTATATATCTTCGCTCACATCACGAACTAACACAATCAAAGTAGATTGTGTTAGTTCGTAAAATCAAGAAAGTGCATCAAAATATGCGCTGTTGTTGTTAAGGACTTTTTGTGTGGTAAAGAATACAAAATTGCTTGACAACCAATACGCGCTCGTTTTGACGTGCTACTGTGATTTCACGAACTAACACAATCGACTTTGATTGATATGATTTGATTGATGATATGTACCAAATCCTACAGTCATTTACCAAGAACTGTACTTTTAACAATTTTTTAAACTTAAAATGACAGCGTAACTCATTGTATGCAGGTGGTTTTTACATGCATGGAGAACATTATCAACAAATCTTCAAGGATTTAAAATGGGTTACAGTGCCCTTAATGAAGTACAAATGATGTTGATACTGTACTCTTGTTTATAAACTTTTAAAGAGTAACCAACTCTCCACAATAAGTCAAAACACCCCCCCAAGTAAAGCTTGCATAGAATCAAACCCAAGCAAAGTGTGCTAACTGAAAATATAAGTAGAAAATAAGAAAACAAACAAAACAATTAAAGAAATATGATCAAGCAAGTTGAGAGGAACTATTGAAAAAGGTGTTTTTAGATGGGCTTTGAACTGCCTAAGCGAATCAAAAGATCTGGGAGAATTAGGCAGACCATTCCAAAGTTGGGCAGCAATTGAAGGGAACGCTATTTAATTTGTTGTTTTTATTGACATGAGGCATGGAAAAGAAAATAGTTCCAACCATGAAAATTGTCTGAGGAACAAAAAGGACCATGAAAAATGCATCAAGCACCGGCTTTTTGTTTGTTTTTTTGTTTGTATAGTTATTTTTATAAATTCTCCTAGAAAAATTTGCAACTGCCTGTAGCCAGAGCAACAACATCACAGCATAACTAGAACTTAGGAATACTCAACATTGTAGAGCATTTGACAATAGGAACCATTACAGCATACAGGAACTAAAACTTTAAAAAAAGAAACACTCATCATTGTAAGAGCACTTCCAAGTAGCCACCGTTACATGATATATAGAACTTTCAAACAGAAACACTCAGCATTGTAGAGCATTTCCCAACAACCACTATCACAGCATAACTAAAACTTTGAAAAGTAAACACTCAATATCCAAGAGCATTTCCCAAAAGCCACCATTACGGCAGAAAGTGCATATACACTTTTTACACTAGAGACAAAATGCAGTACTTAACAGTTACAAAAGCACCATGGACAGACAGGAACAGGTCTGTAACCTCCTCTAAACATGCTACCCCAGAAAAAGGTGAGAAAAATGTAAAAAAAAACTAAGGAAGTACAAGTAAGCAGATAAATAACATAAACAGTAATAATGTTATATTGTATTAAAAACTGGAACTTAATATTACCATTGAGTGACATTTGTCCACCTCTCAGAACTTCTTCAGACAACAGACCAGTTGCATTGATCATGAGTCAGGTGATGAGGAATACTGCGCAGCACCGTGTCCCATGTTCTGGATAGTTGAAAACGTATTCCTCCTACTTGGTTCCAATCATGGTTCTCTACCCCTCCCAAATCACTTTTTTTTAGCCTTTATGATTTAGATGTCCCGAAAATTTGCGTATGTTGCATACTTCTGCTCATTCTCACTCCATCTCTACAGTATGTAGCCTAATCGGGCCTCCACTGCCGAGCATGTTGTATTGTCCAACATTCTAAAATCTCAGATGTGCGGTATAAAAGAAACATGTATTGTGTAAATTATAATTTGTAAGTGCACAGACAATAGGAATTCTTTTGAGAAAAAACTACAACCAAAGAGTATAGAACTTTAACACACAATCCATAGTATCTCGAAAAGTACTACCACAACTTGGAGGACGTTTTTAAAAAGAATGTCAAAGTGTTTCATAATGCATGCTGCTTGTGTAGAACGCCTGTTCCAATTTGTAGCACTATTCAAATTCTAATAGAATATCCCAAAATAGGGATGTTAGCTTGTTTCTCATTTCATTGTCTGCATGTCAACCATGCAGGTATAACTATAAAAAGGAAATATACATTTCTGTTTTGACTATAGAATGCAGTCTTTGATTGTAATAGATCAAACTTTTCCCACTAGACAAAATTTTACAGAGGCCCCTAGCATATCAATTTAAAGCGTTGTTTCCTTTCTTCACAAATTTAGATGCTTCTTAAGGAGGTACTTTTGTACTGTAGGTTGGAAGGAAATTTGAATGTGTATAACAATTTCATTTGAAATATTAATTCATATTTTTTTTTATGTAGTATTGCTATTTGTGTTTCTTTTATAAATGTAGATGGATCATCACCTGACATCAAGAGAAAAACAACTGATTAAGAAGGCATTACAGGAATATCATAGATCTAGGTGAGGTAGACAAAGCCACAAAATTTTACAATTTGTCATATCAGGAGCTGATAAACAAAATGATTAATAACAATGCTTAAATACGAACAAGATGTTAATATTGTATTAAGCATAGCCCTTCAATGAAAAAGCTACTTTTATTCAGTATGAAAAGAGTGTCTGACGGGATTCAAACCTGCAACCTCTTGCTATCAAGGCGGGTGTTATATCCTTTAGACCAGGGAGACCAATAGTACGTAGTGGAGCTATAGATGAGCTATAAAGCCTTGTAGATTACAGCTTGGAATTTATTTCAGATTCAGATTCATACAACTGAATAAAAGGAACTTTTTTCGTTGAAGGGCTCTGCTTGATGCAATTATAACATCTTGTTCCTATTTGAAAACTGCCATTATTATCTCCTCCAGGAGATATATGTTTTCATTTGTGTCGAGTGTTAGGTATGACCCAATGAAGAAATGATTACATTTTGGTGACGGTCCGGATAGGGTGTGGATGTGAGGACCAATTAAAGGGATTTAAGAGCAAACACTCTATAAACACGTTATATTTTCATTGCAGATTTTTTGGGCTCAGTACGGACTCCAAAAGTATGCATTTTCTTTTAGTTTTAAGGCGTATGCGGATTTTATAAGTCCGCAATGACGATATAACGTGTTTACACCAGATATTTAAAAAACGTATCAACCTATCTGAATGAAAAGTTTGCGAAAGTTTAAACAAGTTACAAGGATGAAATTATTAAGTGTTGGTGGCGATCCATATTCGGGGGTGAATTTGAGTGTCATTTAAAGTTCTAAGGTCGTGCGTGTTTGTTGTGTTCAAAATATCTCAAAAATGGCTGCAGAGATCTAAATGGAAGTTACAGGGAGTGTTAGGTATGACCCAAGCATGAGGTGATTAAATTTAAGTGACGACCCGGAGTAGGGTACGTTTGTGTATCAGGACCATTCAAATGAGTTTAACCAAGTAGGAAGAAAGGAAGTGTTGTGACTTTATACTTTTTACAGAAGATCGGTGTTAGGGTTAGGGAAGAGGATTGTTTAGTTGTTTTAAGGGCGCCTCTTCATAGAATTTGATGTCCATAAGGACAGTGGTAGAGCCTTTATCAGCTGGTTTGACGATGATATCTTCACACTGATGCAAATTAGCAATGGCCTAACTCTCATTTTTTGTGAGATTGTCGCAAAAATTTGGATCAGAGTGTGATTTTTCAAGTCCTCTTCAATGTCCTGAATGAAAGTTTCTAAATCTGGGCAAAGTTTCTTAGGTAGATACTGTACCAGGTACTTTTTGGTTTGAATTTGTTTACATATTCTGTGTTATCTGTGGTGTTGCCATCAGAATGGGCGAAAAATTTACGCCATCTTAAACGTTGGAAGAAGTCTCCCAGATAGTTGCTGTGGTCACCCTGCCTTGATTTAGGGCAGAATTCCTCAGGATAGAAGTTTGGTTTCTCCTTCGGAAAGCTGACAGGTTAATTTGAACAACTGAATTCATGTTGTTGCATGGATTATGATTTATGCGCTGAATGAACCTTCTCATCTTATAGCTATTGTTTCTGCCTACGGTAATACAGTAAACATATTCTTTAAATGGTCTTCTTATACACACCCTACTTCAGATCGTGACCAAAATTTAAACACTTCTTCATTAAAACATGACAAACTATGCTGGAAAGTGTCATTTTGATCCACTGATCCATTTTAGAGATATTTAGGTCGGGGACCTAATGGCCCTCAAATGCACACCCGAATTCTGATCATCACCAACATTTCATAATTTCTTATGTTACTAGAAAGTAATTAGCATATCATATTGCTATGGTTTCCATATATGTGACACAGTTGATCGGCAGTTGGCTGTTGGAAATAAACCAGACCTTGTCTCCTCTCTATACAAGTTATGTTTGTGTTCTTGAATAACGCCTATAAAATCTCACATAGAATAAAGATTTTTTGCAAGAACACTGGAAACCTCAAAGTTTGGGTGTGGCCCTTAGTGTTAAATCAAGGATTCACCTTGACCCTCTGACCCATTTTTACAGCCACTCCAGATTTAGGGAATAAACTTTGATTAACCATTATGATTCACAATTCTTATTATTCCTATGACAGTGCTTAGAAAGATCATTTGGTTTTTGTTCATTTTTATGTTTTACTTTAATTAATTTGTTTTTGTTGAAAATCTAGTGTAATTTTTATTCTTTTGTCTTTGTATGTACTGAGGGTCCCGATTGATCAGTTCTGGTTGAATGGACCACCCTAAAAAAATATTGTTGAATTAAAATAAATAAATAAAATATGTTTTATTGCAGATATAATAACTTTTGAAAGTGCTAACAATTCATATATTTATCTTCTGATTAAAGGAATCTGGATGGCATGATCATTAGTATTTTCCCTGTGCTTGATACCCATGCAAAAAAGACTATATGGCCATATATTATACAGATACTACCTGATGAGCAGCAAGAAGTCTGCAAGAAGAAAGTTATCTACCTGATAGACAGACATGCTGCAGGTACAAATAATCACTCACATCTAGCCATATATATAATTTACTAACTAATAAGTTCTGAAAAAAAAACAAAAAACAAATGAACAAACAAAAAAAACAAACAAAAATATGGCAGAGTACTTTTTGTTTTCACACACCACTGTTAATACACACTGACCCAACAGGCATTTGCATAGACAACGAAGTACCTGTTAGTTGGTAAAGCAGAAACTGTGTTAACATATACCAAACTCCTATACTCACTGACCCAACAGGCATTTGCATAGACAATGAAGTACCTGTTAATTGGTAAAGCAGAAACTGTGTTAACATATGCCAAACTCCTATACTCACTGACCCACCAGGCATTTGTATAGATGACCAAATACCTGTTAATTGGTAAAGCTAAACACTGTTAATATGTCACACTCATACTCAATTGATCCACCAAGCATGTGCATGGACAACCAAGTACCTGTTATTTGGAAAAGTAAATCAATATGTCTTAAGATATGCCACACTTGTATACTCACTGACCCACCAAGCATGTGCATGGACAACAAAGTACCTGTTCGTTAGTAAAGGAAAACAATATGTGTTAAGATATGCCATACTCATATAATCACTGACCCAGCATAGTCCTGTAAATCTGTGACAAAATTGTAATTAAACCTAGAACTAATTGCAAAAGCAATATTTTTTGCGGAATTTGTTCCTGAAATATTCCCATATTAACATACTGAAAGTCTGAAAAAATCCAATTAGGGGAACAGTGTTAATTTTAAAGATATTTAATGAGTTAACATCCAATGATTTATTGTGTGACATCGTACTAATGCTGCGATGGAGCATATAAAAGCCTATTGTTGCTAACAAAGAAATAGTTCAGCATAATGGACACTGGCGCGCGAACGCAGTTGGATGAAACTTGACGCGTTGGTAACACAAAGATCATCACATGCAGCAGCTGTCCGATATCCTGCATTAAGTTTGTTTGTTTTTTGTTGTTGTCAGATATGTAGTTCGTTACATTTGTGGTAATTTGTACTTTCGTTAGTCGATTTGTACTGTATTAATATTAAAAATTAAATTCCATAGCCAGACATAGAACTAAGATCTAATAAAACCACTTAAGGAGTAAATATGTATATTCCTTGTGATAAACCAAATATTACTCACTGTGGTTGCGCGTCGCTCAAAATCATTTGCAAGTGGTCCAGGGGAGGATCCCCCAAAAAATTTATGGATTTCAAAGGCTTTTTAATCAATTTTAGAGTCTACTAATAGGTAGGAAATTGTGATTTTTCTGGTCATACTGCAAGGGTGAAGACAGGATATTAAAAAGCTCTGCATGTTCTAATTGAAAAAAAAAATAAACACTAGTTTTTGCAAATGTTTTGATCGGAGCCAGTGTTGGAGCCAGTGTTTGCACCAGCGGTTGGCAGGAGGGAGTCTACCCTTTGGTTTTGAACACTGCTGGTCAGGTTTTTCTCATAAATATATATTTTAAAAAAGTAGAGGGAATTTTTATATACAAAAATTTGTTTTAATTTCAATTGTATGTTATAGGAACTGTCATCATGAAATTTGGAATAAAAATATATAAAATAAAAATGCGAGATAAAAAGATGATGCATTTATGGATGAAAGTACCAACACATAACTGTATTCAATTATGGTGATGCAACAACAGATACGATCGTGGTACAAACATTTATTATTATGCCTACCTACCGAATGATTAACAAAGACATAATTATAAATTGTTAAAATAGTAATAATAATAATAATATAATATGCAGAAATTTATAACGCCCCAATTCAAAAAACATTATCAAAGGCGCATTAAGGCACATCAAAGTATCATATAATTTTAGAAAGTACCCCGGTGTAATTTTGTGACACTGTTTAGTTTCTTGATTATATGTTGTATGGTAGGGGTTAGTTAGGAATGTATTTTTAGATTGCCTTGCTTGAATTTTTGTATTTTTTAGAGATTTTTTTTATCCAAGTTTGAGAACAGTGCACAAAACTTTGCGTTGATCATTGTGGTACCGACGCACCTAGTCTCATTCAACTGTGTTCACGCGTGGACGTCTATCTTTTTCAACATTTCTTTCATTAGCAACAACAGGCTTTCCTACGCTTCAACGCAGCAGCTGGGCGATATGACACAATAAACCGTTGGATATCTGTATTAAATATGTTTAAAATTGACAATGATCCCCTGATTGGATTTTTTCATACATTTAGTATGTTATTTTGTGTATATTTCTGGAACAAATTCCGTAAAAATTATTTCTGTTGCGATTAGTTCTGGGTCAAACCACAGATTGACTGGACTACCAAGCATGTGCATAGACAACCAAGTACCATTTAATAAAGCAAAACAATATGTGTTAAGGGTGTACGGTAAGAATAGCCCTGGGAAAAATGGCCCAAGTGACAGTTAGGTAAAAATGCCCCCCCAATAATAAAATTCTTTATTAAAACTGATTTAAAAAAAAATCATTATATGTATTTTTTTAAACTTTTTGCAGGAATTTCATATTCAAAAATAAAATATTCAAAAATAAAAAAAAAGCCATGAATAACACATTTTATTTTTTTTCCCCATTGAAGTATTAACAAATAGACAACATTAATCAATAAATCAACATAAATCATGCATTTATTAATACTAAACTAATTTATTTGTGGCCAAATTCACGGAAGCGGAATCATAATTTTCCAGAAATTCAATTCGGGTATTGGTAACCCCCACAGACAATGGGTTGATATGAACATCAAATTATTATTTTTTTTTAAGAAAAAGAGAGTTCTACAATCTCAATTAAAAGGTTTGGATGGGGTTTGCAATGTGATTTTGGAGGTTTGTGGTGTATTTGCAAGTAATTTTTCACAAAGAAAAATCAACATTTTAACCAAAAAATAGGTTCTTATGAATGTATTTAATTTTCTTATTGATATACCAAGTGAGTCAATCACAATTGATTTGTTTGGTTTTCTACAGTGTGTTTTGGGAGGTTTGTGGGATTTAGCAATACCATTTAATCCTACCATAATTACCCTACCCTCGCAT